GCGTAATTATATTTGGTATCGCTTCATGCCCTCTATACAATTTCCCAATCCTGGGATTCATGTGCTGCCATAAGCGTAATCATCTGGTAGTGAATACATTTTCTTCTTTAAGCGCTGAAACTTAAGAAAGCTTTAGGGTTTTTGTTTTTTGTTTTTTGTTTTTGTTTTTGGAGGGGGTAGGTGTCGATGTGAACTGTTGACGACCTTTGCTGTGTTCACCATAACTACAGGTAATAAAAAAGTTTTCATTCCTCCTGTATCCCGTATTTAGACCCCAGTGCTAAAAAGAACAAATGATGGCGCAAACCTTCACTGTGCACCTACTCATTTTATTATTACTACAACTCGGGTTGCTATTATTTCCTCCACTTTACAGAGAAGGAAAAGACCTCAGAGAAAATTTATCAGAGATCATAAAGCCATTAAATACCAAAAGCAAGATTTGAATTCAAGTCTTCTAACTTTAATTCCATTGTTTATTCATCTATGCCACGGTGATATTAACTAATAAGCTCACATGCTAAACATAAACCCTACTCCCATCCATCACACCTTTACTTCTGAATGGGAACCACAAGGAAATCAAGAAAATAAAAGTCAAATGCAAGTATATGGCAAGAATAAGCAAAAGAACCTTAGTGAGCCAGGATTCTCAAAGGACTTAAGGATTACATGATTTCTCAAGCATCGAAGGACCATTTAGAACCCTTAGTAGGGTCTTGGACATAGGTGCTCAATGAACACTTGAATGAAAGGGTGTTTAAAAAGTTTCACAGTATCAGCCCACAGATTATTCATTTACAAAAGGAAAAACGTGCTTTAAAATGGAAAGATCTGGTAGTCACCATCTTAACCAAGTGATCATCTTAACATCGCCAACAGTGGGGCAACTTGACATTGTGCGCCTCTACTGATGCACTAAGAGATGCCCCACACAACCAGAAAGTGTAATCTAAATCTACTAAGAAAACAACCAGAAAAAATCCAAGATTTAGGACATTATACAACCGATTCTGATACTTGAGAAAGTTCAATGTCATGAAAAAATAAAGGCAGGGAGGACTATTACTGATTAAGTTAAAAGAGGAGAGACATTAACCAGATGTGCATATAAATTGTGACTAGATCCTGGATGAGGAATAAAGTTTTAAAAAATACATTGGGACAACAGGGGCAATTATTCCATACAGATCTATCATATTAGATATTACTGGGCTATTCGTCTCAGGTGTGGCAACGGCACACCTAAGGATGTAGAATATCCTTATTCGTAGGAGATGAATGCTTACGTATTCAGGGATGAAGTGTCATATTGCCATAACTTACTTTCAAATGATTCAGCAAAGCAGATAAAGTACTTGTGGTAAAATTTAACAGCCGGTGGATCTAGGGAGAGGTTATACTATTGTTCTATCCCTTCAACTTTTCTGCATATTTAAAAATGTTCAAAGTCAAAATATTTTTTAAATTCTTGAAATTCATCAAGACCGTTAGCATAAATTCAACTCTTCTATGATCATGACTTGTGAAAATACAAAGTTGTAATCAGTCAGTTAATAAATATTTATTGTGCTCCTACTTATACACTAAAAACCACTGTCCTAGACTCTGGGAACTATTGTAGTAAAAAGTAGACATGGTTCCTGCTTTCATGGAACCTACTTAGCATACAATTCT